GTGTTTTCGTATTTATTAACTATTGAACACAAGACTGTGTTATTATTAAAACACTTGGCGTTTTTCCTCTTTATTCAGTTGATACGGGTACTTCTACATGTTTTGGGCGTATAGCCCCTCATCAGTCAACATTAAATATGCAATGACACTCGTACAGCACAAGTTCATATTCACCTTACCGGGAGGGTAAGTTGATGACGTTGACACCACAAACCTACATACATTCAATTAAACAATAAAACTCTGTATAAATATACACGCCCATACCGACAACGTACCTAGTTATACCAATTTTTGTTAACTGTTATTTCTTACTGTTAAGTAGGCGTAACACATCCTCTATCTTCTTATTATTAAAGTTGATAAATATATATGCAGAATCCTTTCTAAGATTAATGAATATTTGATTGGTTTCTCACAACTTCTCTTTTTCACACAACAGAATCAGATAAACTTGATTGGAAGTTTATCTGATTCTGTTGTGTGAAAAAGAGAAGTTGTGAGAAACCAATCAAATATTCATTAATCTTAGAAAGGATTCTGCATATATATTTATCAACTTTAATAATAAGAAGATAGAGGATGTGTTACGCCTACTTAACAGTAAGAAATAACAGTTAACAAAAATTGGTATAACTAGGTACGTTGTCGGTATGGGCGTGTATATTTATACAGAGTTTTATTGTTTAATTGAATGTATGTAGGTTTGTGGTGTCAACGTCATCAACTTACCCTCCCGGTAAGGTGAATATGAACTTGTGCTGTATGAGTGTCATTGCATATTTATTGTTGACTGATGAGGGGCTATACGCCCAAAACATGTAGAAGTACCCGTATCAACTGAATAAAGAGGAAAAACGCCAAGTGTTTTAATAATAACACAGTCTTGTGTTCAATAGTTAATAAATACGAAAACACAATTTCAAAAACGAATCAAAAAATCCACATATTAAAAATATTAGGTAATAATTTATCATTTATTTCCATGAGAATTTTTTAATGATGATGCTTACCACTACATTATATATTAATTAATAATTTAGCTAGTTTTTAAGATGCAATTCTTGACTCATATGGTATAGTTTATCGGTTTGTGATGAATTCATTCTCATGTGTTAATTTTAGATAACTTGGAATAGCTGAAGAATGCAATATAAAAGCTATATGTAAGAAGTGTATGGCTTATAAAGAATTGTTATGAAATGTTGTCTTTAATTTGCTTTTTTTTTTTTTTCTTTATAGTGCCATCAATGGGTCCATTAAATGTGACTGCTAATGCTACTTCCTCTACAACAATTGTAGTTAAATGGAATGAAGTGCCAAAAATTGATCAGAATGGAATAATTGAAGGATATAAGGTATACTGTGATTATTTCTGGTTAATGTTGTTAATATAATCAGAAATTAATGTAATAATGCATAAGCTTTTTTATTATAAAATTGATATTTTAATAAATAACTCGTAATTTTTTTATATAAATGAATTTAAATTTGATATAAAATAATATAAAAGATCTGTTTCTATGAAACACCATTCATTAGAAAAAATGACTACAGGTAGGCCTCCTACAATGCGGTAGATACGTTCCTTGAAAATACCGCGTTGTGGGAAATCGCGTTATAGGAGACACCAACTCAATACAAAAGCTGGGATTCGGTTTTAAAAAGAGAAAAACTTGACATTTGAATGGCATTTTTTGAATTTTTCAAACCAGCCATTGGTAGCCACGAATTTAACACTGGTTTCATCAGCTGATAAGTGGCGTAGCGTAGTGGGGGTGGCAGGGGTGGCACTTTTAGGGGGTGGCAAAATTTCACAATAAATAATAATAATATCTTGTAAAAATTTGAACCATTTCATTTCATATTTTTGTTGCACCTATGATTCGGACTGATTGAAATGAGCACAGAATTGTTCATTACTTATTCTGTGACAAAACTGAATTTTAGTCTTTTAAATTGAGATACCTAAATAAGGGGGCGGCGAAATTTTCCTCCGCCCCGGGCGGCTGACACCCACACTACGCCATTGCAGCTGACGACTGTCCCATTTGTTTTAAATAATCAAATATTTTTAAGGCTTTGTGTTTAAGTGCAGTTTTATTTAAAGGCAACTGTTTCTTGTTCATATCTTCTAACCATAATATTAGCGCTTGTTCCATTTTTTACATTATATGTGCTCTCGGACTAGCAACATTTTTCACAAGAATAGATGATCCGGATGCAACCAAATTTCTAATCTTTTCTCCTGATTGCTTAATTGACCGAATAGTCGACTCATTTAAATTAAAATGCCTACTAATATCAGCTATCCGCTGTTGATTTTTAATTTGATCCAAAATTTCTATCTTTGAAGAGTTATAAATTTCCTTTTTAACGACGGTCCTTTCTTTTCATTCGGCATTGTTATGGCTAAAATTTTTTCAATCAGTTTTGTAGACAGTAAAAATCGCAAAAAATAATTTTTCTTCACTATATTGTTAAAAATATACACCCAATAGAAGTTTATACTGTATTTTGGACCATTTTTGCAGTCCCCACTTATTGAAACAGTATAAATGATGGAAAATTTAGTGATATATTTGAGTGTTTACGGTAACTGATGCACATCTGTCTAGAAACCGGTCTTCCCCTGAAGCTTTCAAGGGAATAAATAACACACCAACGTCGACAAACAGCTGTTTTCAAAGACTTTTAGCTCTGTATACTGAACTGTGGCTCATATCATGTGATCCGTTGCGATTTTTCTGTTATCTGAAAGATAATTCATTTCTAAATACCGTAAACCGTGTTGTAAAAGTACCGCATTTTTCCAACCGCGTTGGAGCGAAAATGTGTTGTAAAGGTACCACATTGTAGGAGGCCTACCTGTATACAGGTAGTAAATGATTAAACTCAATTACAGTATGTGTAATTAATTTAATGCAGTCATTTTAATAGTGTTTTAAGAGAGTAGATTTCCTAGATACAAAATGGATACCTGACATTTAGCACTAAAGCAATTTAAAAAATATGTTATTTGAATTAGTCATTCTAAAAATTAATGGGACTCAAAAACTGTTATTAATGAAATTCTAAAAAAGTGTTTTGTTTTGAGAATAGCAATGTAAAATCACATACTGTAGATCCCCCTATAACACTGTTGATAATTCTGTGTTATATGAATTCCATGTTGTATGAGTCACTTAGATTTTACAAATACGTGTGCCGGGCTGTGAACGGCTCACTTATTTGTAAAATCTAAGTTACTCGTACAACATGGAATTCATATAACACAGAATTATCAACAGTGTTATAGGGGGTCTACTGTATACATATTTTCAAATTTATATAAGGTATATATGTTACCGCTAAAGCTCGAAATCCGTTAATGTGCGCATTACCTAGCTAATCTGCAGATTAACTAGGGTGATCCATTAAAGTTGCGAAAATTATTCCATTTCTCAAATTACCTAGGTAATGTTCAGATTATCTAGATAATCTGCAAATTACCTACTAGGCACTCGGTAAAGTGAAAATAAGATTTTTGCTGGAACAACAGCAACGTTTCTGTACGCTTAAATTAACATAATGTTATTTATTTAATTTTCAATATCTAAAGAATCAAGTTAATACAATCAACAAATTAGTTGATTGAATCAATCATCAATCAATTAAAAAAACTTTAATACAAAAATCAAACGGTTTAAAATATTACTACAATTAGGGAAATGAATTTGCAAAACATATGATAAAATTGTACTTACTTATTAGTGCAATCTAAAGATTGGTGACACTTTGAATTACGTAGCAATTGGTTTTTGCGACAAGCACGCCTATTTGTGGTACATTTAGATTTGCAGTCACATTTTCTGAAACCCTGCCCAGTACCAAGGGATTGTTTTATTGCTGTTTGACGTAAAGATATTTCTACAGCAGGGACATCCATCTTCTTTCGTTAAAAATCTCTCTTTGCAAACACTGAATTCAGATTTTGCATACAATTGTTTTAAAATACCTGTTTTAGTATCAAGTTTATAAAAGCCATCCTCTGTTTTACTAAGAACCACAGCTAAAATTGAACGTGCATCAGTTTTTGCTCTGTCTTCTTCGGGTACTTTAATTCTCACAGCGAAACCTTCATCGACGTTTGGGTGCTTTGCATTAGAAACTGCTAACATTTTCTTTGCTTGCTTTTCTAAACATTTCTTGGCTTCATCACGCTGTATTTTCTGATCCATATTCTTTTTACAGATGATGCACAATACATTCTTACCATACCCTTCCTCTTTAGGATCTACTTCACCACAAACTGCGTGAACAAACATATTACACGATTTACACTTGTGAGCACTTGATGCTGCTTTTGAGCAAACAATACAGACTATGTCTTGTATAGTGCTCTTTACAGGCTCCGTACGAAACTGTGATGGCGATTCTGCTGAAGTTGAGAGTAACTCAGTGATGACTTCTTCAACTTGCAGAGGCGATTCCTTGGAGGTGCAGGGTAACTGAATATTCTTCGTGACTGCATCATCAATCAACGGTATAGAAGGCAGTTTAAGATTACTATCGGTAAATTCTTGTATTTCTATAGGTGATTCTGTAGAAGCGGGGGATAACGGAATGTCCTCTTGAGTAAGATTTGACTGTGATCTCATAATCACAGTCTCTTGTGAATCTTCTAATTTTTCAAGGTCTTCTTCAGTTTTTATCGAATGTCAAACAATTCTCCGGCATGGACAAACTTTTTCAAACCTTTCTCGCGCATCTGACAACGGCTCAATGAGTTTTTCACAGCCTCGTACAGTCAACACATCACACCTTTGAATTATTTGATAATCTCGAGATGATTCTTTCTTCTTGGAAACTTTTATTTGCTTTACATCTTCAATTATGGAATCATACTTTGGTTTGTTATTAAAACACTACGTATTATATTTTAAATCTTCGCTAAAGAGGTTTGCGAAGAATCTTTTCTTGATTTTACTCACCAATTCGGTGCTTGCTTGCATTCTAGGATTTAAATTTATCTACGTAAAAAGAAGGAGTGGGGAAAGGAAGTGAAAGAAACAAACTTTTGAACTTTAACGATACGGAAGCCGTTAATGTGCAGATTACCTAGATACTCTGCAAATTACCTAGGTAATTTGAGAAATTGAACAATTTTCGCAGCTTTAACGGATCACCCTAGTTAATCTGCAGATTAGCTAGGTAATGTACACATTAACGGATTTCGAGCTTTAGCGGTAACATATACATGGATATTCATATATATTCTTTTTCAATGAACTTCATGGATATCCCTTGATATGCACATACAGTTTGGCAACCACATAAAAAGTTCATACACACACAACTTCTGACTGCATTTTTTTTTTTTTTTTTTTTTTAAGACTTAGATAAAAGTTTTTGTTTTTGATGTAGAATCATAATATGCAATAAAAAATGGGGAGTTTCCATTAAAGAAAATGATGATGACTTTATTTCACAGATTGTAGCACCATCTATGATGAAACCAATAGCCCCATCTTGTGGTTCCCTTAGTATAACATTTTTGATTCAGTGATTTATTTTGTAGGATGTGTATTTTTTGAATTATTTCAGTGGATTGATTAAACAATCCTGTATATTTATTATATATGTTTAGTATAGTGTAAATATACAATATATATTACATATTCTCTCGTCTTCATAATTAATAATTTGTTATTTTTCAGGTTTATTTTGGAGCAAAAATGGTTCCATTTAAATATAAAGTAATAGAAAATAATATTACATACACTACTACATTGACAGAACTCAGGAAATATACTCTTTACAGTATACAAGTATTAGCTTTTACACGCATCGGAGATGGTGCTTTAAGTTTACCACCAGTTCATGTTCAGACACTTGAAGATGGTAAGAGATTTAATTAAAAATTATATAAAAATATTTTTAAAATAATAATTAAATAGGAATAACCGAGCTCTGCAGTTCATTAAGAAAAGATTACAAAACAAAATTATAATTTGATAGTATGTTTGTTTATTTTATTTAAATAAATATTTGAAATGTTAATTTTTCTATTCTATCAATAGTACTGTCAGTTAATTTTCCTGAACTATTATAAATTTTAAATAATTTATTTAATATATACATTATTCCCTATTTGTCTGTGCAATCTAACAGTTTGCAATATTATTCTTAACTTTTAGCATTCCAATGCACTGTTACAGTGGCATATATAGTAAATATCATAAGAGTGCTAGACCCATCTGTATCACTACATGTGTATTGCTGCAACAAAATTATATGATAACATAATTGTATAAAAGAAATGATAGAAAATACAAGTTATTGATAGTTACTGATAATGGAAGTACAGTGGTACCTCGGTACGTCTGCTTTAGAATACGTCCTGTTTGGACGAAACAAACTTTGCTCGATATATGACTTTTGTTCGGTATACGACTTAATTCAATTATACGCGCCATCTATGAACAAGTAGCACTATCAGTGTACTAGACCAGACTAGACATTTGCGGTGCCACAGTTTATAACTTTGTTAAATTTCTTCTGATTTTAATTTGTAAATAAAATTTTATTATTTTTATTAATCATGGATTGCAAAAAGGCAAATGAAAAGCAACAGAAAACTAAAAAAAATTACTAGAATTACAATGGAACTGATAAAAGAGATTGTTGAGAAACATGAAGGTGGCATGCGTGTTCGAGATTTCAATTGCTGGATACCGTATTCCGAGAACGATAATATTGACAATCGCGAAAAATAAAGACATTATTAAATCTGCTAACGTTGCGAAAGGAGTTATATTAATTTCTAAACAGATCGAAGACATTAGATCATATTGAGAAATTGCTTTTGCTTTGGATAACTGAAAAACAGTGTGCTGGCGACAGCATATTGGAAGCAATTATTTGCGAGAAAGCTAAAAAGATACATGCTGGTCTCATGAAAAATTAAGCAGGAACTAGCCAGGAAAGCGAGGTGTTTAAAATCAGCCATTTTTTTCCATGAGAATGGATTAATCATTTTTACATTACTTCTTATGGGAAAGGTTGGTTCGGTATACGTCCTATTCGGTATAAGTCCAAACATTAGGAATGGATTAAGGTCGTATACCGAGGTTCCACTGTATTTCTGCATAAGCAGATGATGATGAATGGTATGATTCTACAGAAAATGTGGATATGCCACAGAAACAGTTACCAGTTGCTCATAAAAACATTCTGAGTGACATTTTAGATCTAGTTTTGAGTCCACCTAAAAATTACAAACTTGCTAAGTTCAAATTTGGATACTCAGATATGAAAAATTTCTTGGAGTGCAAAGGAATAAGATTTTGCTTGTTTATTTGATTGTAAATCAATGTTGTATAAACATGTTTTCTAAGACTTTTCTCAGTTAAGATATGATTTAAAAATACTGCAGTTTTTATTGTTGCTATCATTATCTTTTGCTGTTTTGCTATGGATCTAGATATTGTTTTTTTAATTCTCCTACTTATTTTTTAGGAAAATTCATTTAGAAAGTTAATTATTAATTTAAATATTAACGTAAATAATTTAAGATTTGACTCATTTTTCATTGAATTTGCATGATATATGCTTCAACTCATTATAAAAACAAAGTCGATTCTGTTATTAAATATTATCAGTATAATTGTTGTTATAACAACTTTCTTAGTTGAACAAAAGTTAAGTTATATATTCAAAGCATTTATTATTTAATTATTATATAGTAAAGTAAAACAAAAAAAAGTTATAATTAAAAATAATAACTAAAATGATAATATTTTTTAAAAAATATTTTATTTATAGTTCCTGGAATTCCGTCCAACATATCTTTTCCTGATGTATCTACAACAACTGCTCGTATATTATGGGATGTTCCTGAGGAACCAAATGGTATAATTACAGCATATAGAGTTTCTTATCATATAAACAGCACTCTTGAAGGCTCCATTACTAAAGAATTGCCATCAACTGATCGCACTTTAAAAGTCTTTAATCTCAATCCAGAAACTTATTATTTATTTACTGTCACTGCGAAAACTAGTGAAGGTTGGGGTAAAACTGCTCAAGCAATTGTATTCACTACTAATAACAGAGGTACATAATTTAAATTCTTATATTTAATTATTTTAAGAAGCATTTATTATATTAGATATCAAAATCTTAATTAAATATCTATAAAACGTATTTAATATTTATCAGTAAAATAGATTTGGACTTATGTACTGTACTCATATATGTTTATTAAGAGTGATTCTTGTTTTAAAATACAAAATATGCAAATATATATTATTTTAGCATTTCATTTTTGATCAGTTTGAATCTGGATTATGAAAATAAAAAACATTGTTTTATATAAGTAAATAAATATGATTCAAACTTAAAATTTGAATGATATTTTAAATAATTTTAAAACAACATAAAGGAATGAAATAAAAAAAATATGCTGCAGTTTATTTAATTGAAATTTCTGAATTTATCAAGAATGCTTAATGCATTATTGACTTTTTCACAAGAAAAAAAATCAATTAAACAAGATTAATATATTAATATTCAATTTCAAATCAATTCTCAAAAGCATTTACTTGTGAAATATTATTGTTTCATTGAATTAAATTTTTAAATTTATTTTTTCACAATAAAAAATTATTAGTTTTTTTTCACATGCAAAATCTCTGTAAATACAATTCTAATAAATAGCATAACAACTTTGTTTAACAAAGTAGTTTCACATAGTTTTATCATAAGATGAACTTTAGCATTACATGAATTTCTGAAATTTAACATTAAATAATAATATGTAGTTTTTAAAAGTTATATATCTTTTTTAAAAGTGTTGTTAATGAGAGGTTTTAATTAAAGAACCAAATAATAAAATTTAATCAAGCTAATATTTTATTAATAAGACTTAATTATATATCTTACTAACAAGATATTAGCTTAATTAAGTTTTATATCCTTTCAAATTCATCATTATTTTGTAGATAAACTGAAAAATGTTGAATCAGTATTTCAGAAGCATAAGTATCAGTACTGTAAAAGAATTCATAAATTATATATCTTAATTTTGAGTATTTAGGTTTGAGTAATTTATGAAAGAATTTTTTGATTCAATATGGTTAAAATTTTATTTTATTTATCTTACTAAAATATATTATAATTTTTAATATCTCATATATAATAATTGAAAAATTATTTTTATAGTTAATTTTGATGTATTTTAGTAGAATAAATAAAATAAATTTTAACATTTTATATACAATTAAACTATCAAATCAGCCTGGCGTTGCTCTGGCAAACGATTTGGATGATTTGGTAAATATTGTATGTTTGGAAATTAAGTTATTACTATTAAAAACAAAAAAATTGCATCTAAAATAGCACAGTAGAAGCTGTTCTTCAGGTTAAGCCTTAATCCTCTCCTCCTTCCCTTCTGGAGGAATTTCAAAAAATCCCTTCTAGTGTGCATTTTTGTGATGTACCCTAACTGTGTCCCAAATTTCACCTCTTCAGGTTCAGCAGTTTGCTCTGGGTGATGATGAGTCAGTCAGGACATGTAATTTTATATATATATAGAAGATTAGTAGAATAAATAAAAATAAATTTTAACATTTTATTTATAATTTATATATGTATACATATAAATGTATATATATTTTGAAGAATAATGATTATGATGTAATTTTGGAATTTTTTTTTTAAACAGAAGCTCCACAACCACCTTCAGCACTTTACATTCGAAAATCTCAAATTCAAGCAAGACAAATTGCTTTCAGCTGGACACCGGGAAGAGATGGATTTGCTCCATTACGTTATTACATCATTGAAATATCAGAAGATAATGGCATTTGGAAAACATTACCAATTAAAGTTGATCCATCAGTTACTACCTATACTGTCACAGGGTAAATAATATACAAATTCAAATAAATTCAATAATCATTGTATATTAATTAAAAGATATAAATATTTTTATCAGTTTAAAGCCATTTACACTTTATAAATTTCGACTACAAGCAATAAATGATATTGGTGCAAGTGGATGGAGCCCTGAATCAGAAGTAACTCAAACTTTACCTGCAGGTATTATACTATTATACTTGTTTTAACAAAAACAAAAAACGAACTTCAGAGTCATATGAGTAGTCTTACATTTTCTGTTGACTATTAAAGCATGCATAGCAATAATTACTGTTCTAGTGGGTTTATAAAGTTGCTGTCTGTTCTTATTATTTCATAAAAAGTAGTCAGACAATTTTTATTTTAATAATGTTAATAGTGACTTTCTTTTACTTTCATTTATTGCTGTTTTTTTTTAAAAACAAACAAATATATTTTTTTTTATTTTCTAACAGATTTTGCTATCTTTTCAATTTCATATTAATACAACATAAATTTGAAATGTAGAATATTTAATAACTTTTAAGTGAGATGATGACAAAATCTGTGATAATGTCTACTAAATTGTTATTGACTGTATTATTCTATTAAATTTTTATGAAAATTCAGATAACAAACTGAAAATTTTAAATCTACATTTTAATTTTGTATTCCTCTTTTGACCATTTATTATAAGGATATTCATGATATTTCTTTTTAAAATTAAATTCAATTAACTAAAGACTGGAAATCTCTTTTTAGATTTAAATAAAAAAAATTGCAGAAAACAAAAACAAATTTACTTTAAACATATTTATTGATATTGATATCAACTTCAAGAATATAGCTATTAGGGAAAAAGTTGATTTAGAGTTGATAAAACTATTTGAGTAAATTTATTTTTTGAGTTTTAAATTTAATAGCAAACCTGAAAAATAGATTTACAGAATATAGTTCATAATTTATGGTGTATGTGCAATGCTTTTTGATATTGAAATTTTAATATTTCAAAACTATTTCAGCTCCAGATGATCCACCTTCACATGTTCTAGTGTCACCATATACAACAACTTCGGTTCGTGTTAATTGGGAAGTAAGAATATGTTTAATTGTATAAATGTTTTGTTTTGTTTTATTTTTTAAATAATAATTATGATATAACAAGATAATAAAATAAAAATTTTTTAATTTGTGTTTTTCAGCCGCTTCCTGAGTTTAAATGGTATGGTGATACTCAAACTGCAGGGTACAGGATTGAATATTGCCAACTTTTAACTTACACTGTTTCTCGGAGTTCTGATTGTCCTAGTAATCGTGTTTATGGGGTTAACATCTCTACTGTTTTATTGCCAAATCTTGAACAAGATAATATTTATGAGATAAGAGTATATGCATTTAATAACCAAGGTGACAGCATTCCAAGCCTCCCTGTTTCAGTTTTTGTTGGAGAAGCAGGTAATTTTTAAATTTTACTTGTAAATATTATGATTTTTCTGAGAATGTATTTAAATGGCTACAAATATTATATTTTATTTGATTTATAAAAATTTTTAAATTTATTAAGAAGTTTGAACATTTTTTACTTTGTCATATTTATTTTTCCATTTATAATAATAATATAATTATATTGATTATTATTTTATAAACCTTAAGTTCATTAGCAAGAAATGGTAGTTGTTGGACAACATATTTTGGATTATTAATTGTTGGAAAACAAATGTAGAACTCAGCTGAATGTTCAAATCTTACACTTGAATGTTGCATCTATTTTATAATAAACTAAAATTTTGTGACAAGTCTAGCATTATTTGATATATTGAGCTAACTTTTTATTGATAATGATTCATATCTGTTACCCCTTACAATGGCCATTTTATTAGTCATTAGATATTTTTTGGAAGATGATATATAGTGGAAATTCATTAATCCAGTACCTGATAATATGGTATGTCCAGTAATCCAGCCCTATAACATTGTAAGTAGCTGATAACCTGGAATTGTCCAATAATGATCTAGTATGCTAGTATTCCTTGAATTGGAAATTGTTTTCATATATGATGTAATAAAGATCCTGGGCAGAAATTAAGGTGAAGGTAGACAGTGTGGCCATCCTTATTACTACATTTTGGTAGGTTAACCATGGGAGAAAAAATGATGTGATAGAGAAACTAGCTCAATTTCTTACAGTATCTTTGTTTTGTTCAATTAGATGCTTTCACTGATGATTTCTGTCAGTAATATGTATTTACACTCCAATTGCCAAACAAGTTGGTATAAATTTGGAAACTTATGTGAGAACACTTGTCAAAAGTTGCATTGCTTGATATATACAACTTTTGACAAGTGTTCTCACATAAGTTTCCAAATTTTCCAAAAATATAAATACATCAGTAATCCAATTTTTAAAATAATCTGACACTGACTCTGGTCCCATAGATGTCAGAATTAATAAGCTTTTACTGTAATTTATTTTTTAACTGTTAAAAAGTTAAGAAATAAACTTAATTCAATAAACTACACTGAGTGAAATATAAATTGCAACAATAAGAAGGGGAAGTGCAATTTGTTTGAAAGTTATGGACAAGACTGATAAGTAGGTAAGACATGATAAAATTTTCAGAGTAAAAAAATTATTGTTTATACAAAATGGCTAACATGACTGTACCAATATGGAATGGCTTCTTTTTAGAAATACATCACATCTATCACAGTATTGAGTCAGATATTTTATATAACATCTTAATACTACTAGCTATGCTTTTTAAATCTGTTAGAGAAGAGCTACTGTTGTTGCACTGGTTTGTTTCAGATTGCCTCATTGTGTCCCAGACATTTTCTACTGGAGAGAAATCTGGAGGTCTGTTATTATCTGAAATATTCCCAAGAGATTTTTCCATATGTGGACAGAAATTATATTACTGAAATAAGACATTATCCACCCCAACCATGAAGAGAAGTGCTACAAACTTAAACTTAAAATTTTATCAACATGTATCATTGGGATGAAGTGGAACGGGATGTCTGAGCTCATAACCTTGTCTTCCTTGGGGAGGTCTATGGAACACCATTGAGAACTGCTGATAGAACATTGATCCAAACACTACGGGTTTTTCATGGAATCAGTATCAAGGTGCATCATAGCTGCAATTTGGACAAAAGGAGGTCCAACACAATATTAGACAGCTATCTCCAATTTGGTATTTTTTGTGTGAATGATTAAATTATTTAGCTGCTTATATTTATAGTGTGTCTAAAATGAAATATGTCTAGAAGAATTTTATCTCAGAATTTCAACTAACACAACTGGTCGTGTATTTATAGTTATGATTGTAGAATCAATCCTACTTCAATTAATTTCAAAGATTTAAAAGCCTTGTTTGAAGTAATTTTTTTCTAGATATCTAATTATTAAACTAATTATCTATTTTTTAAAATTACTATNATTTTATAGGGAAGTCTGGTTTATGGTAATGTTAGCAGCTACTAGTGTTGTTATCATTATTATTGTTATAGCAGTTTTGTGTGTTAAAAGCAAGGCATAACATAGCAGTGCCTATAAAATCAAAGAATTTAACACATGTGACCTCAATATTACATGGAATGGTAATAATCTGCATAAGAAAGTTCCTATTTAGTTATTGTTTTGTTTTAATTAGTTTTGTACAATTGTAATATAACATTTTTTTAGACAGATATGTTATTGCCTAACTTCAAATAGGCTTTTTTGAAAATTAACCTAAAATTATTTAAATATTTTAGTTCCTACTGGTGAACCACAAGATATTTCAATGGAAGCACTTAGTTCAACAGAAATAAAAGTATCATGGAAACCACCTTTAGAAACAAAACAAAATGGTGATCTTTTAGGATATAAGGTATTATTAATGAAAACATATACTTTTATGTTTATTTATTTATATATAAAATATATAGTAGAACCTTGCTTAACAAGCATAATTTGTTTTAGAATCTTACTTATAATGTGAAACACTTGTTAAGTGAAACAGTTTTTCCCATATAAATTAATGTAAAATATGATAATGCATTCTGTGCAGAAAAAAAAAATACTGAAATATTTTATGTATAACGTTTATTCAAAGAAAATTATATAGTATACATTGTTAAGGAGCATGAATCATCATCATCATTTCTTCTAGTGTGGAATGAACCAACCTGGAATGCAAATTCGATTTGCAGAAAACAAAAAAAATCAAAAAATTATGTCTCATAAACATGCCAAACGATATGCCAAATTTTTGGCTATGCAAAAGCTATAATTAAATACTAGAAATTAATTAATTTGACTAGAGGTAGGCAGTTATGTTTCCACCTTGTATTAAATTTAATAATTATAAAAAGTTTTAATTTAGACATTTCTAAAATTTAATTTGGAATTGGTCATTAAATTTAATATAAGATGGCAGTGTAACTATCTATCTCTAGTCAAATTAATTAATTTCTAATATTTAATTATAGCCTTTGCATAGTCCAAGAATTTGGCATATCATTTGGCATGTTTATTGCATAACAGGCTATGGTTGTTGATATTTATATGTAATATGTGTGAACATACGTTTGGAAAAATATGTGGTCACAAGTGCCACTAAGATGCTAGCAGAATGAGTGCTGAACACAGACTGATGGAGCATGCACACAATCCGTGACTTTCCTTCTCCTCGTCACTTGTTGTGCGAAACATCACTCGTTAAGCGAGTCATTTTTACAATTTGTTTTGCTTGTTATGCGAGGTGCTCGTTAAGCGAGGTTCTACTGTAATACTATACAATTCTTTTACTCCAAATATATTGAAAATAAATAATTAAATAATAATAACTATTACAATAAATATTATAATAATTTCATAATTGATTTTCAATTTTAATTTTAAAATAATATCAGAAAGAAAATGCTCTTCCACAGTTACCAAGATTATTATATTCATATAACTGAATTGTCTGTTGCTGCAACACTTCAAAATTTGCATGTACAGTGTATCCTCACTAATCCAAATCAGTTTTGTTGTTGCATTTAAATGTTCTAGCCAAAAACCAAAAGAAATACACACATTTTAAAAAACATGATGAATTTATAAAATATGTAATAATATACATTTTGATATATTATCAAATACAATGTAAACTTTTAAGGGTTAATGTTACTTATGGTTCCAAGATGGCAATGCTTCGGTTAGGTTAGATTAACTATATTTTTAGTAGATGTTTCCTTTTTTTTATTTTGTTCAAGAACTATTGTGAATCAATAACTAGTGGCATTTGGCACAAGGTGGCCTGCTGGCGGCTCCCCTCCGGGAGGAGTCCATCTAGACTACGAACAGTCGGAAGTGCCGCCATCTTGGAACCATAGGTAACATTAACCCCTTTAAGTGTATAAGTATTTTCCTGTAGTCTTTTTTGTTCACTATATATAACCACACTAAACGATCCCATACAGTAATAATCAGTTCATTTTAATATAATAATAAATCTGAACTAATTATTGTATTTAATAACCTTATTTGTATTAGATTATGTACTGCTTATTTAGGAATATATGTACTGTTTTAAAAAATTACTGCTCTAATATAAATCCATTATCATTATTTAATATGTTCATTCCATCTTAGTAGACAAAATATTTTAGTTATAGAGGACTGCTATATAAAGTATTATACTAAAACAACAACAATAGTTCTATGTTAAAACAATTAATTTATTTAGTTATTATTTTTTTAATTTGAATTATTTGCTTGTTGGAGGATTTTTTATATGAACATCAGTTTATCTTTTTCAGAATTTAAATATTAATACAGTAGAGCGTCATTTATCCGAAAGCCGGTTATCTGAAACATCAGTTAACCGAAAGCATTCCAGTTGGCAAATTTAAATCTTTGGTCTGTGGCACTGTAATATTTGGCTATATCTTGGGCTACTCCAATATTTTTTTGTTCATGTGTATGTTTTAGCTGGCAGCACTGGCACTTTTGTGTGGTGTTTTTCTGAGGACTGTGTGTCGTGCTAAATCAAACATTTTTGATACTAGATCAACTTCTAAAGTATATATTTTTTGGTTTTTATATTTTTCAATATATTTATTTTGTTTGTAAAAAATAAAGAAATAATTTTTAATGATACAATAGCCACGATTATTATTTTAAAAAGATTACGTTAGGCTTAACATTGACGAAAATCAACGTGAAGCGACACGCAATGGAGAAAAATTTCAACATGGGATAGGTTAATATATTTTTTCGTACATAATCGGTTATCCGAAAAATAAGTTATCTGAACAACCCCAGTCCCCAATTGATTCGGATAAACAGCTCTACTGTAATTACATTAATATTTAAGGAGTTTGCAATAAAAATAAATTGAACAAAGAATTAGTTGTCCTCATTAATATGCATGGCTTATTATGATATAGAAATCATTTAAAAATTCTTATATTTTGCAAATATAGCATACATATTATTTATGTACAACTATGTTAAATTCATACATTTAGTTTTGAATTTTTATTCTAATAAAGTACAAAGTATTTATTTGAATGTGAAAAAATGAAATAGTAATTCATTTCTTTATTGTTATAATTTTTTTAAATTTTAATAATAAAAAATAGAATATTTTAGAATTATTTTTAAAAGGAGTCAGTTCATATTTGAGGAAAAAGTATTTCATGAAATAATTATTGATATTGATATGTTTGATATTAATTTATAGATATTTTATAAACCACTTAATGAAGAAGGTTCAGAAGAAATGGAAGCTGTTCCAGCAACTACAAAGTCTTTTGTATTGATGGATTTGAAAAAGTATTGTGTATATAATATTCAAATTCTTGGTTTTAATCCAGCTGGAGATGGACCTCGTTCAATGCCACAAAAAGTTAGAACAAAAGAAGATGGTAATTATGTCTATTTATTAACTTTTATTGGCTTTCAAATAGTTTTTTAAATTATTGTTAGAGGAATTCACTTTTTTTTTACTTTAATTGAAAATATAGCAAATTATTGTGCATATCTCATACAAATTTTATTACAGTAAAGTAAATTTAATACTGAGTTGTATATACTATTTTCTATTTGTTGCAATTTCTATTGTTTTTCATTTTTATTGTTTCTTGCATTTTGTAAATTCTTAAATATACCAAATTTAATGAGCTTTTCTACAGTATAAAAATGGTATCTACAAATTGATCAAGATAGATTTTAAACATTTTTCTTTATTTCTGTCAATAGTACCAGGACCTCCAGGAAAGCTTGTATTTTCTAACATTACAATGACTTCACTTAATGTTAGCTGGAATGAGCCTGTAGAAGCAAATGGCAAAATAAAAGGATATCTTCTTGTTTACGAGACAGCTGTAGAAGATAGTGGTATGTGTTTTTGTTTTTTAAATACAGACAAATTATGATTAATATGAGTTCATTTAGTATGAAATTTGATTCAGTATGGGTTATTAATTCTAGTTTGCATATAATAAACTTAAGTACTCTCTATTGATTTTGGAAATATTTACAGTAGAATCTGTTCATTGTATTCATTTTAGACCCACTCCTATACTGATTTGTATATTTGACTTATATGTTTTGGGACATGCTAATTCTGTTAACATGGATTTCAACATATCTGATAACAATATCTGTAATTATAAGTGGATTCTGCTGTACACAGTTATAGTTTTATTAACAGTAATGTAGAAATAATAATAGAACTCATTAAGGTATTTTAAAAATTGTTTAATATATTTTGACTTAACTAACTGCTTTAAAAAAAATGGTTAAAAAATTTAAATTTTAATAAGAGTTTTCTCTTTAGATTATAGCAGACAGGTGCGTCAGAGAGTGACAGTTAATCATTTGGCTGTATATGGTTTGGGTGAAAAAATAACCTATACCTTCAGAGTTAGAGCTGAAACTTTTGACTATGGACCAGAATCTATTAGTAATGTTACTACTGGTCCACAGAAAGGTAAAATTTAATTTTTATTATAAAATGGAAGCTTTATATTATAATATAGTTATTTGATAAGTTTATTATATTGTACTTACAAATAATATCTAATGTGTTGTTAATCAAAATTACATGATCCAGTTTGTTTGACAGAATTATTTCATTTAAACTTTTAAATGGATTAAAATCTTGAAAAGATTAATAATCTTGTCAGTTTTAAGTAATATTTAATACTGTAAAGCTTAGCAACATAGATGCAATATAATAGGAAGTGGCACAAAGTATTCAAGGTTCAGATGTTTTTTCTATTTCTTTAATTATATTTTTTTCATTTTTTATTACAAGTTACATAGTGAAAAGTTCAAAATTTATTTTTGATGAACAAATTAGAAAATTCAACTTCAAAACTTTGGAGGAAAAAATTCAGAAATTCCAAAAAAGTAGTTGGTAAATGAATTTTCACTTGCAAGAGATGCTAATTAGGAAAAGTTATAATGCATTAAATTCTAAATCTTTGCAGATTCAACTGTAGAAAATATTAACATAATGTAAAGTGTTACTGCATTTTTGTTTGGTTTTTCTTCTTCCATAAATGAGTTGTTACTTATCATTTCAAATTCAGTTTCATTTATAGAAAGGTTTTATAGTCTGCCAAATTTATAGAATTTGGCAGACATTTAATGATAATTTGATCAAATAAAATGTTTTTATGAGACTAAGTTAAATAACATTGGTGAAAACAGTTTTATCTCTCTACAATATACAGTTACACAGATTAATTGTAATTGAAATTTTTTGTATATTTTATTGTTCTAATTGATTAATAGAGATACATTTTTCATTTTGAATTAATATTATGCTTCTTCTCCTACTATTTATAAATTAATTATCTGATCATTATAAATAGCTTTTTTTAGGATTTATCATACACTATCAAAAATTACAAATAAATATTTAAAGTTCATTTTGAATTAATATTATGCTTCTTCTCCTACTATTATAAATTAATTATCTGATCATTATAAATAGCTCGTTTTAGGATTTATCATACACTATCAAGAACTCACTCAGAGACTGATGAACTTTAAGTATTTATTTGTAACCTTGGTATGCTTTTTGGCAGATAAGCTGTCCTTCTTCAGCTGTTAGTCACTAAATTACAAGCATCTAAAAGGTAAAGGTCTTATTTTATAAACTGTACAGTAACTGAGTAGATAACAGTTTTTAAAAAGGAAGAAATCTATACTGACATAATCCATAATTATTAATCCATATATCTTGTATCAACAACTTCTCATTAACCATTTGGTTACACAAAATATAAAGAATTTTAATTTTCTGCCCTCTAAAATATACATACCTAATTTATAGCTATATAGTTGTTTACCATACAGAGATTATTTTTAAAAACCAATCACAAACCTAAGGTCACTATAATACATTAAAATGAATTTTAAATCATTTAATACACTTTTATAAATAATATCAATCACTACCTACTTGGTCAGACTTTTCCATTATTTGTATGGTCTTTTGGTTGGAATTACTTTCTTTTTAAAAAATCCTTTTTCTTCTTTAAAAAATGTTATCTACTCTGTTACTGTACAGTTTATAAAATAAGACCTTTACCTTTTAGATGCTTGTAATTTAGTGACTGTAATGGGTGAAGAGGGACAGCACATCTACCTGAAAGGCCATACCATGGTTTCAAATAAATACTTAATGTTCATCAGTGTCTGAGTGAGTTCTCGATAGTCTGTGATAAGTCCTAAAAAGAGCCATTTGTAGTGCTCAGCTAATTAATACATTTTGCAGTTAAATAATTATTTCACATATAAATTTTCTCTCTCATAAAAGTTGTTGTTGTTGGGCTGCAATTTGAAAGAATTATAGACCTATAAATTTCCACTGTCATCCATTCTTCTGTCTTTCTTTCTTTAATCTCAAGAATTAGAAATCCAAGAATTAGAAATCTCAAGAATAGATTAAATCCAAGACAGATATGGATTAAGGGCAGGAGGTCCCAATTAACTATATATGAACTACTGATGCAAACCAGAAGAGACATAATTTCAATTTAAAAGTTTTCCCCAATAGATGACCAGCACAACTCTGTTGTTAAAGGAAAAGTATAATGTGCAGGGGCAAGCCACTACTAATTTGAGGTGGAGAGCATATATTTTAAATTAAATAAATTAAAAATATGATAAAAATTTCAGCCAGGCATTGTGATGATGTCACTATAAATAATTGCTTGTTGTTAATTAAGAATTAAATGTTTTGTATATTATCTTATATTTTGAAACATTTTATTTTCAGTTATCTTTCTACAATTTCATTTTTTGCTGTCAGAGATGTTTGTACATTATTTTAAACTTAGAATTATATAAATTTAAAAATATTTATGTAATTAACAGAAAATAAAATTTGTATATAGACCATATGTTTCAAATTATATTCTTTTAATAATTAAATATTCATATTTTAGGTTCACCTGAAAGTCCTCAAGATCTTATATTGTTACATACTCCAACTTCTTTTACATTAAAATGGAAAAATGGTGCATCTGAATCTGGTCCTATATTAGGATATATTATAGAAATTCGTCCACTTGGTAATAAACTTTTATATTATTTGATACATACATAGGTATATAAATGAATTTCAATTAATAATTACTAATATCTTATTAATACCTTAATAATCATAATATTAACTTTTTTGTATTGTATTAAATTTAATTCTATTGTTATAAATAAATTGACTTTTATTTAATAAATTATTGAAAGAATTATAAAGAAATGAAATTATTAATTATTATAATTAATTCTTAGTTGCTTTAATTTCATCTTTTAATTTGTGTTAAAATATATTATTGTGAATTTGATATTATAGATGAACTTGAATGGAACACATTGACTCACTTAAATAATGGACCACAGATATCCTATACAGTGAGCTTCCAAAATTTGTTACCATCCACAAACTATCATCTAAGATTGTTTGCAAGAAATGAGTATGGTGTAAGCATGCCAGTTGTTGCTACTCAACCTGTTGCTACTCCAAGTAAGCTTAAGAAATGTTTTATATAATTTAAAGTTTGTAATATTTTATTAAATTGAATTGTTTTTTTTTAGGTAAATTTTATTTAGAATATCGTCAGAAGTTGCCATTTTATAGGGAAGTCTGGTTTATGGTAATGTTAGCAGCTACTAGTGTTGTTATCATTATTATTGTTATAGCAGTTTTGTGTGTTAAAAGCAAGGCATATAAATATCGAAGTAAGTTTCAATAATTGCTAATAAAAATAATTTTTGATTAATTTGTTTTATTATGTTTATTTCAGTTGTTTTTTTTTTTTTATTTTTAATTCCAAAAAAAGTTAATTGTTTTGTTGTAATAGCATGCAGTTCAAAATATTATATATTAATTATGAAATCAGATTATAAAAATATTTTTAGTAGTGCATTCATTCATTTCTATAAAGCAGTTTATAGAAATGAATGCAATAGTTGTAAATTTATTTATTTAGTTTCAAATACATTATATCATTACATTGTAAGAATGTCTTAGATATCTATATATATAAAAAGCCTTTCATATCATATATATATCATTTTAAAAAAAGATAAAACCAGAAAAAATAGAATTCTAATTCTTTTTCTCATTTTAAATTTATTTAATTTCTAATAATTATTTTCATATTTATATGGAATAATATATATTAACAAGTATATATTTATTACAGAGGATATACATAAATCTTTGCAAGATGACCATCTTAGCATGGATGATGGTGGATTTGCTACATTTGAATTGCGTCAATCCAAGCGAGGAACTCTGTGTAAAAATTCACTGTCTAGAAAGAGCACAAGTACTGTTATAACTAAGTAAGTATTAATCATTCTAATTAAATAATAATGTTAATACATCAAAAATATATCTCGTCATATTAAGATATTTGCTGGAAGGTTATGAATTGAAAATTTCTTTTGCTTCATTGCAATGTGTTAGGATATTTCCTTATCATCACTGTCTTTTATTTTATGTAGCTGGTACCAACTCCAATTATAAGAGATCTGTAACAGATAACAGTAGTCAGATTGAAGTTGGAAAAATCTAATTCAGAGATCTGTTCAGATCCTAGAATATTTTACAAATATTTTCAGATAATCATTACTGTCTATAGACAGAGTAATGATTATCTGAAAATATCCATAAAATATTCTAGGATCTGAACAGATTTGATATTATGTCTTTTATTATTAAAGTAAATAAATAGTTTGTATGATACTATGGTTAATTTTGCTAACAAATATAATCTAACTACTATAATTGACCTTGTGAGATATGAAATGTCATCTAATCAGAAAGATATAATTCCCAAGTTTAATTTCTTGAATACCGTTTCATTCTCATAGTAACTTTGGAATGCTTAGGAAATGTAATTTGTTTTGTAATTAGTAATACTTTAATTGACTATAAATATATACCTGAATTTCATGCTCAGTTTGTGGTTAAATCAGTTATAAAATATTTTAAGTGCCAATACATCTTAAAATTTAAAATTATAATTGTATTGCACTCACTAATCTGAACCAGTTTTGTTCATTTTTATTCTAAATGTTTCAACCAAAGACAAAAAGAAAGCTTAGATTATTTTTAAAGAACAACATATATGTAAAATTACTGTACACTACACAATTTAACATAAACATGTGTACCAAATTAATATGTGTTTAAAATTTTTTATACTGTATTAATCTGCAGTCCTACTTGATTTTCTTCTTAATTGCATATAATCTCAATAACATGTAATAATAGTTCAGGTTGGCAAGAGTGCACTGTAATTGATTACTTGTAATAATAGAATGTTCATCTTGACTTCAGTTAATTATTGGCAATATGTTTATAAAAAAAATGGTTGCACTCTTTTAATTTTGATTCATTGTCCTATTTTTGTGTGTACTATAATAAGTAAAAATATTTCTAATAAATGTATCTATCAATATATACAATAGAATAATAATAAAATAATTACACTTTAGATCTCCTCCTCGCCCAAGTCCTGCTAGCATTACATATTCCGACGATGAAGATGTCAAAGGTTATGATGAAAACTGTGACAGTAGCAGCCTAACAGAAAAACCATCAGAAATTAGTTCAACAGATTCACAGGTAATCTGATAAGTTAATAGCAGTTTAATATTTTATATGTCTTTTAGGAAACAGAAATTTTAAAAATCTCTAATTTACTTTAAAATGGATAGATAGAATTACTTTTCTAGATGTCTTATTACTATATTTCTTAAATAATAAGTTAGGTAATATAAATCTTAATTATATATTTGCCTAGAATTATACAATTAAAAGTTCACTAATTAAATATATTTATAAATGCATCAAAAGACAATAAAAGTTGTTGTAATTTTATTTTAAAATTAAAATATATTAAACAGTAAAACTGCATTGATTACCAATAGATTTTAGTATGTTATAAATTAGGAACAATAATAGAATTAAGAAACACTTTACAGTTAAATGTTCCAAGTCCAAAATTTATTTTGACTCCTTGAATTTGAATAGCTGTGGTTTGTTTCTTACTTATATAGAAAGATGGAGTTTGATTGTTTCAAAAGATTTAGCAACAATAGAAAAAAACTGATCAAACTTGCTGTAATTCATTTTGTGTTCTCATATTGTTACTGTATATCTTTATTTTCAATATTTTAGGTTCACCTGAAAGTCCTCAAGATCTTATATTGTTACATACTCCAACTTCTTTTACATTAAAATGGAAAAATGGTGCATCTGAATCTGGTCCTATATTAGGATATATTATAGAAATTCGTCCACTTGGTAATAAACTTTTATATTANATAGAGAATTCAAAATTTTAATGTTCGTTTGGTGTTAACAGCATTGTTAAAAGATTTGTTTTCTTATTGCTTTATTTAATAACATTTATGAACTTTTATAAAAAGGTAAGAAGGCAAAATGTTAGTTGCAGTCCAACTAAATTTCATAATTTTTTTCAAACAAGTTTTTTGCATACGTGCAAATTTTTCATCCAAGTAAAATGATTCTGTTTGAAAGTCATTTGCACAGTAGTAAATAGATTAAATTTATTGTTCACCAAAACTTCAATTTTTCATAATAGCCACGTGTTTATATCAATTATTTGAACAATGATAAATCTTATTAATGAAAACATCCAAATGCAGTATTTCATTAATAAACTGAAATATTTGCATCATACAGTGGGAAAGTTCAAATTGTCAATCTGTTTGGCATTCAAATATAAACAATGTATTTTTCTATATTTATACTTTTAACAAAAAAATATTTTAAAATTACTTAATAAAAATTCCATAAAAAGCATTTAACACAAACATTCCATGTTTTTTTTAATTTTGGCATTTTTCTTTTGTGATGTTTTTCAGTACTTAAAGAATTTTGTGATCTATTTTTAGAAATGTTCTTTACCAAACTTTTTAATATAGAGTGCGAGTATTTTGCCGTCCAGAAGTATTTCCAATAAAAGCAAATACATTTTATTGGTAAGCACTATTTTTATTTTTTCCTCTCTATTCATTGTGGTATTGAGTAATATTTAAATATTGGATCCAAACTTAATCCTACATTAGAAGGAATTTTTCATTTAGTGCTTTCAAAATTATATATCTGATGTTGCAAGGAAATGAAAATGTTAACACACACACACTCATCTGTAAAAAATGATGTAAAAATGTTCTGTATATCTCATTAATTTGAAAACTAAAGATTTGTTGATTAACGACTCTACGCTTAATGAATCTCTGAAGTCTTCCTTTGATTTTTGATTTATTTTTTTATTAAACTTTCAGAAGGAAATATTTGAATAAATTGCTCCTTTGCCTCTGCTGTTTGTTCCGAACTTTCCATTCTCGTATAAATTATAAATATTTAATCAATCTGAACGTCTTTAATTTTCAAATTATTTTGGCAGCTACAGGAAAGTAAGATAAGCAGGACAAACGATTTAAGTTATAAAAACAGATGTGATATTCATATTATATAAAAAAAAATTGTTGCATATTGAGTAACATCCAAACCGCCAAGTTACACAGATAGTGAACCCGAAGGGAGCATTGCTGTCAGCCTGAATGGAGGACACATAATCATGAACAACATGGCTGGTTCAAGAGCTCCTCTTCCTGGATTTTCTTCGTTTGTATGATATTGTACTGCCATTTGAGATGAAATCACAACCTGGACTTGGAAAAAGAACTTATTTTTTACATCGTCGAGTATTTAAGTTAAAATTTTTAAATGTATCTTTTGTCTAAATGTTTGTGGAAATTTTATATGTAGTAGATTAGTGATCGGTTAAGCTGAAAATTATTTGGGATTGTGGTATCAAGATCATAGATCAGAAATAAGAAGACAGTATTTAACATGCCAATGCGATAACCAAAGATATCAAAAAAAAATATATGATGCAAATTATATTTATAGAGATATACTGTTTATTATGCTAAAATATTTGAAAGCTTTTCTTACTTTCATTTACTGCTGGGAAGGTTTAGTATAACTGCTTCTGGCTGAAGTATAGCAAATTAATCTTTTTCAAAGGCTAAAATGGAATTATTCCACCATTTATTATTTATTCTTAACTGAGAGAGATTTCAAGTGACCATCTCCATTCTTTGGCAAGGTTTGATTGTTACTTAAATAGATCAGTCCATTAGAATAGAAAATATTGCCTTTTTATTAAAGTGCCTTTTTGTTAAATTTCATATTATTTAAACAAAATATTGGTATTTTGGATAACTGAAGATGATCTAAATTCATCTTTGCCTTAGAGTTGCAATGTTTTTGTTATGAATTTCACATATCTTTATATGCAATTATTAAATATTCCAATGAAATATTACTTAATACCAAAAATATTTGTTAAGGACAACTTATCTGTCAAGAATTACCAGTTTGAGCCTTGACATTCAAATTGTCATATTTTTATAAGCATTTTATCTGCACACAAAAGTCATATTTTGAATTTCAAAGGGAATATTTCTGTTTCTTTTATAACAAATTTATATTTTTACAGAATGATTTAGTTAAGGAAAAGAAATTTATTTTATACATAGTCTACATAATTCTATAATTCTTTTCCATCTGTCTTTAGTGTGATTTAGATTAGAAATTGATACTAGGAAGATGTATGCTAATTATATATATATATATTACATTTTGGTATCTAAAATTAAAAGTTTCTTGAATAATCTCAATTATTTTTAGATTTAGTTAATATTAGATATAATTTTTATTACAATCAAAAAATTAAATGGCCAGAATATATTTACTATATTTTTTAAACTTGGAACTTAATCAATCAAAGAAACTAAGGCCAATTATATTATTTTAAATATATTTAAAATTAATTTATTTCACATGTTCTTTGAATGGCAAAATCTATCTACTTCAAAAGACATATTATTTTTTTAATGACTAATTTTCACTATACACATTGCTATTAGATATTAGATGGTGGACTACCTCCTGCTAAATTGCTTAGTAATTATTTAGACTTACAGCCCAATAGAGAATTCAAAATTTTAATGTTCGTTTGGTGTTAACAGCATTGTTAAAAGATTTGTTTTCTTATTGCTTTATTTAATAACATTTATGAACTTTTATAAAAAGGTAAGAAGGCAAAATGTTCGTTGCAGTCCAACTAAATTTCATAATTTTTTCAAACAAGTTTTTTGCATACGTGCAAATTTTTCATCCAAGTAAAATGATTCTGTTTGAAAGTCATTTGCACAGTAGTAAATAGATTAAATTTATTGTTCACCAAAACTTCAATTTTTCATAATAGCCACGTGTTTATATCAATTATTTGAACAATGATAAATCTTATTAATGAAAACATCCAAATGCAGTATTTCATTAATAAACTGAAATATTTGCATCATACAGTGGGAAAGTTCAAATTGTCAATCTGTTTGGCATTCAAATATAAACAATGTATTTTTCTATATTTATACTTTTAACAAAAAAATATTTTAAAATTACTTAATAAAAATTCCATAAAAAGCATTTAACACAAACATTCCATGTTTTTTTTAATTTTGGCATTTTTCTTTTGTGATGTTTTTCAGTACTTAAAGAATTTTGTGATCTATTTTTAGAAATGTTCTTTACCAAACTTTTTAATATAGAGTGCGAGTATTTTGCCGTCCAGAAGTATTTCCAATAAAAGCAAATACATTTTATTGGTAAGCACTATTTTTATTTTTTCCTCTCTGTTCATTGTGGTATTGAGTAATATTTAAATATTGGATCCAAACTTAATCCTACATTAGAAGGAATTTTTCATTTAGTGCTTTCAAAATTATATATCTGATGTTGCAAGGAAATGAAAATGTTAACACACACACACTCATCTGTAAAAAATGATGTAAAAATGTTCTGTATATCTCATTAATTTGAAAACTAAAGATTTGTTGATTAACGACTCTACGCTTAATGAATCTCTGAAGTCTTCCTTTGATTTTTACGTAATTTATTTTTTTATTAAACTTTCAGAAGGAAATATTCGAATAAATTGCTCCTTTGCCTCTGCTGTTTGTTCCGAACTTTCCATTCTCGTGTAAATTATAAATATTTAATCAATCTGAACGTCTTTAATTTTCAAATTATTTTGGCAGCTACAGGAAAGTAAGATAAGCAGGACAAACGATTTAAGTTATAAAAACAGATGTGATATTCATATTATATAAAAAAAAATTGTTGCATATTGAGTAACATCCTAATGTAATATACAAATAAATACCTGTGTATATTCCGTCCATCGAGAAGCATAATTATATTTATGATATTTTTTAAATATAAAGTGTCCTTTTCGATATTGTAGTAATCACTTTTGTATTATTAGAAATACTATCGCTTTGTTTAAATAAACATTTTAAGAGAAATATCTTGTCGATTGATTTAATTATTTTTGTTTCATTACAGAACAAACTGAAATATTTTATGCTGTTTCAATTAGATAAAAAGTTGTACTGTGTCTTTCCATTCAAAATGCATGGGTAATACATCAGTAAAATTTATGGGTCTTTGGCTTTAAGAAATTGTGGACATTACCATAATTTCAAGTGACAAGTAATTTTCATAAATAATACTGGTTTTTTGGTAATTTTTAGGAAGTAATAAAGGTAATAAAACAATAAAATCCAACTGTTTCAAGTAACAAATGCTACCTAACAATATTTATTTAAAAACAAAACATTTTCTGTATATTCGTGTACAGTACATACTTATTCTGGCAACAAAGTCATTGTTTAATATCTGTGTATAATTGCATCTTTGTTCTCTAAACAATGAAATGTCTGCTTTGATGTCACCTGCTAACATCAATAGCATAGAAGTGTGTTCTGCATAAGAATCACTGCATGACAATATTACAAAATTTACACATTTGTGAAAAATCTTGATTTTGAAGGATGCTAACCAACCAAGGATTCATTATTGGTTTCAGAAGTTGTGAAAATGGTAGAAAAAAAATGAAACATTAAACACATTGGAAAATATCAGTGTGTTTGAGTACAAATGATTCTCCCAAATTAGTTGAAGTGTTTTTAAGATGATTTACATGTCATTGGATTGTAAAAATCTTATGTGCACACTGCAGAAATGTTTTTTAACATGCTTCTATGACAAATTGTGCTACTGGAAAGCCAAACAGATTGAATGATGATAATAAAAATGTCTTTTTTATTAACTCCAAGACTTCTTCTTTCAATTGGTTCCTCTTCTGACTACTTTCCCCATTCTTCAGATTCCCCTTGTTCTATCCTTAAAATGACACTGCATATGTATGCCGTGGAATTCACATAGCAGAGAATTATAAGATTTTCCATTTTTGCAATTTTTAGTATAAAATCTGCCAATTTCATTTATTTAATCTTTACATAAATAACATTCCTTTTTAAAAATATAAAACATTTTTGATGTACAGAATCAAGTATATTTGATTTGGAATCAGTCCTTTAATGCCTCTGCACCACACTGCTACATAGTCTTTGTGTATACACTTGATAAAATTGTACAGAATAATCTAATCTGTTGTTAAATTATGGAAATTTGGATTCTGGATTTTGTTTGAATTAAATGACAGACACTTCATTTAAGCTTTTAACTATTCAAAAATGTTATCAAAATTTTTTTATTTACATGTACTAAAAATGATTATGCTTTGTACAGGTTCATCTTTTGCTGAAAATAATCATTTACATTAACAAAAATAATTTATTAGTATACATTCAAATTACCCAATTTCTGCTGTCGTTTAATTAGTTCAAAATTTTGGCTTCAATCATCGGCTGAAGAGAGAATTTTTATTCCTGTTTTCTGGATGCCGTGAATGTGCATCTGGAAACGAACTGCCTGATGACGGGCGATCGTTCTGAGAGCAAAATCACCCACGATGACTTCTAATGCAATGAATATCAGCATGATGGCATTGACAGATTTCTCCAATGGCAGAAGCATCAGGTCATCGTGAAAGGATATAAAAGATACTAATGGAAATTGGATCAGCAATGTCAACAGCCAGAAACTAGTTAATGATGGTACCTACAAACAAAAATAAGTACATATAAATAGGTCTACATTGTTATTGTAATTACTGTATATTAAGCTTAAAGTATATATATAAAATATAACAAATGCAGACCTAATAGTTCCTATTTACTTAACATAGGTTACAATCTAAACAAAATTGCATTTATTTGTTTTTAAAGTTCTGCTAGCTTCATAAAAGCATTTACAGTAAGATTCAAGCTCTGAATGAACGGTTTTGCACCTCCAAAATTGTAGACTCCCCATACAAGCAAAAAGTCACAAGCTGCAAAAACATTTTGGCTGAGACTAACTGTAGTTAGTCCCTTTTGTAAAATCATAAAGAACCAACATCTCTTAGCTTCTTTATGAATTTTTTGTGTTATGTTTTGTTTTATTCAAATCAAAATTTAAGCTATAATAATCCATTTTGAAACTTTGATTATATACGAACGAACAATATTTTTATAACTATTTTCACACTTTTCACATGTTTCTTTCAAATTAAAATGGTTTAAGATGATAATCTACTTTCTTCCAGTATGCTTTATCGAGATGTATAAACACTAATTACAAGTTTAATTGAAGTAAAGGAAGACAAAGTAAACACATTTATGTATACAATTACTGAAATATACACTAAATATGTTTTGCTTATTTTAAAAAATTTTTATCAATATATAATTTATATTTTTATTTTGAAAGAATTTTATAGACAAGTAATACTTTTAAATTTAATATACAGTAGAGCGTCGATTATCTGAATCAATTGGGGACTGGGGTGGTTCGGAAAATTGATATTTCGGATAACCGGTTATGTACGAAAAAATATATTAACCTATCGCGTGTCACTTTGTGTTGAATTTTCGTTGATGTTAAGCCTAATGAAGACTATTGTATCGTTAAAAATTATTTTTTTATTTTGTATGAACAAAATAAATATATTGAAAAATATAAAAACAATAACTTCTATAATTTTTTTAAATTTAGTATCAAAAATGTAAAATATTTGAGTAGCCAAAGATTGCAGCGCCACAGCGCTGGTGAAAATTAAAATTTGCCGACTGGAATTCTTTCAGATAATTGACGCTCAAGTGTTAAATAAAAAAACATTTCACTTATTTTTCTTAAAAATTAATTTTTAAATTAAAATTTACTTCAATAAATGAAATTACACTCGTGCACTTAAGGATGACGTGCATTTACTTAGAAAACATGTTGGGAAACAGTGATAAGTGCATGTAGTGTTTCCTAGTTCGAGTCCTTGACTGTGTGTCACACTTGATCCACGAACCTACCGCTTGGTGGCACTTTAAACACTCGTCGTGTTTAAAGTGCAGTTTCAACACACCAATAGTGGTGTTCGTTGCATCACAGATTGAATATACACAGCAGTGTAGGAGAATGGTGCAGAGACACCATTTGGATGATTTTATGCATGGACGAATCGTCAGACAACTAGAGAGCAATCAGACTCAAATGGAAGTGTCGCATGCATTGAGTGTCCCCCAAAGTGTCATCTCAAGAGTCTGGCAACGATTCCAGCAGGATGAAAATGTCACTCAGAGGTATGGCAGAGGCCGTCCAAGGTGTACCATTGGCCAAGAGGACTATTACTTATGCCTAATAGCCAAACGCAATAGACACAGCACTGCCTCGGATCTCGCTACAGATCTTGCAGCTACTACAGGGACCAACATTTCAAGGTTTACAGTGTATGGACAGTTAGCTGAGGAACACTTGTATGCCAGAAGACTGGAAAGATGTGTTCCATTAAACCAAGTGCAAAGAAGAGCTCGTTTAAATTGGTCCAGGGAACATCAGACATGGATCCAGGAGAAATGGAGTCATGTCTTGTTTACAGATGAATCCAGGTTTAGTCTCAGCAGTGATTCACAATGTGTCTTCATCTGGAGAGAACCTGGGACACAGTTCCGTCCAGAGAACATTACTGAACTGGACCAGTACAGAGGTGGAGGAGTCATGGTGTGGGGTGGTATCATCCTGGGCTCTTGCACTCCCCTGCATGTCTTCCCACGGGGGTTCGATCACAGGTGTGGTGTATCAGGATGATCTCGGACTAATATGTTTGAAGTCATTGCCCACTGCACCTCAAAAGAGACATTCTGATGGATGATAATGCTCATCTGCATTGGGCAGGCATAGTGGATGAGTACCTTGAAACAAAAGATATCAGTCAATTTGATTGGTCCAGTTGCTCACCGGACTTGAACCCAACAGACCATGCATGGGGCATGCTTGGCAGGCGGATTGCACATCATCAAATGGCTCCAAGGTCCATTCCCGAGCTCAGGGAAACACTGGTCCAAGAATGGGAAACCATACCCCAGCCACTTCTTGATAGCCTCATTCTCAGCATGCATTCACATTGTGGTGCATGTCTTGCAGTGCAGGGTGATCACACACACTATTAATGGCCCTGTGCAGCACCTTGTTTCCTGAACTAACACATACGGGTTGTTGTTAAATTCAGCGCCGCGAAGCAGCGCTGCAGCTTAGGCTGCAAGAGCGCTGCGATCGCTGCTGAATGTCTTTTAACAACGCACACGGGACAGCGCTGCAGTTCCAAAATGGCGGCTCTCAGTGCAATTGTTGGAATGTTTAGCGAATTATTTAATTCGAAAAATTTTAAAAAGAATTCATTTTTGCGATACAATGTCTTATTTAGGAAGCGTAAACATGACGACGAAGTAATTGCTGGAATGGCAAGTTCTGTTGTGGTGCAACCGCGGAAAAAAGCCAGGATACAAAACTATTATGAGGAAATTATTCCTCGATACAGTGATCTGGATTTTAAAGGCCACTTCAGACTTCAGCGTGAAAGCGTTGAATANTTAGTTTCAAATACATTATATCATTACATTGTAAGAATGTCTTAGATATCTATATATATAAAAAGCCTTTCATATCATATATATATCATTTTAAAAAAAGATAAAACCAGAAAAAATAGAATTCTAATTCTTTTTCTCATTTTAAATTTATTTAATTTCTAATAATTATTTTCATATTTATATGGAATAATATATATTAACAAGTATATATTTATTACAGAGGATATACATAAATCTTTGCAAGATGACCATCTTAGCATGGATGATGGTGGATTTGCTACATTTGAATTGCGTCAATCCAAGCGAGGAACTCTGTGTAAAAATTCACTGTCTAGAAAGAGCACAAGTACTGTTATAACTAAGTAAGTATTAATCATTCTAATTAAATAATAATGTTAATACATCAAAAATATATCTCGTCATATTAAGATATTTGCTGGAAGGTTATGAATTGAAAATTTCTTTTGCTTCATTGCAATGTGTTAGGATATTTCCTTATCATCACTGTCTTTTATTTTATGTAGCTGGTACCAACTCCAATTATAAGAGATCTGTAACAGATAACAGTAGTCAGATTGAAGTTGGAAAAATCTAATTCAGAGATCTGTTCAGATCCTAGAATATTTTACAAATATTTTCAGATAATCATTACTGTCTATAGACAGAGTAATGATTATCTGAAAATATCCATAAAATATTCTAGGATCTGAACAGATTTGATATTATGTCTTTTATTATTAAAGTAAATAAATAGTTTGTATGATACTATGGTTAATTTTGCTAACAAATATAATCTAACTACTATAATTGACCTTGTGAGATATGAAATGTCATCTAATCAGAAAGATATAATTCCCAAGTTTAATTTCTTGAATACCGTTTCATTCTCATAGTAACTTTGGAATGCTTAGGAAATGTAATTTGTTTTGTAATTAGTAATACTTTAATTGACTATAAATATATACCTGAATTTCATGCTCAGTTTGTGGTTAAATCAGTTATAAAATATTTTAAGTGCCAATACATCTTAAAATTTAAAATTATAATTGTATTGCACTCACTAATCTGAACCAGTTTTGTTCATTTTTATTCTAAATGTTTCAACCAAAGACAAAAAGAAAGCTTAGATTATTTTTAAAGAACAACATATATGTAAAATTACTGTACACTACACAATTTAACATAAACATGTGTACCAAATTAATATGTGTTTAAAATTTTTTATACTGTATTAATCTGCAGTCCTACTTGATTTTCTTCTTAATTGCATATAATCTCAATAACATGTAATAATAGTTCAGGTTGGCAAGAGTGCACTGTAATTGATTACTTGTAATAATAGAATGTTCATCTTGACTTCAGTTAATTATTGGCAATATGTTTATAAAAAAAATGGTTGCACTCTTTTAATTTTGATTCATTGTCCTATTTTTGTGTGTACTATAATAAGTAAAAATATTTCTAATAAATGTATCTATCAATATATACAATAGAATAATAATAAAATAATTACACTTTAGATCTCCTCCTCGCCCAAGTCCTGCTAGCATTACATATTCCGACGATGAAGATGTCAAAGGTTATGATGAAAACTGTGACAGTAGCAGCCTAACAGAAAAACCATCAGAAATTAGTTCAACAGATTCACAGGTAATCTGATAAGTTAATAGCAGTTTAATATTTTATATGTCTTTTAGGAAACAGAAATTTTAAAAATCTCTAATTTACTTTAAAATGGATAGATAGAATTACTTTTCTAGATGTCTTATTACTATATTTCTTAAATAATAAGTTAGGTAATATAAATCTTAATTATATATTTGCCTAGAATTATACAATTAAAAGTTCACTAATTAAATATATTTATAAATGCATCAAAAGACAATAAAAGTTGTTGTAATTTTATTTTAAAATTAAAATATATTAAACAGTAAAACTGCATTGATTACCAATAGATTTTAGTATGTTATAAATTAGGAACAATAATAGAATTAAGAAACACTTTACAGTTAAATGTTCCAAGTCCAAAATTTATTTTGACTCCTTGAATTTGAATAGCTGTGGTTTGTTTCTTACTTATATAGAAAGATGGAGTTTGATTGTTTCAAAAGATTTAGCAACAATAGAAAAAAACTGATCAAACTTGCTGTAATTCATTTTGTGTTCTCATATTGTTACTGTATATCTTTATTTTCAATATAATTTATAATATAAATAAAAAGTAAATGATGTATGCCAGTTGGCAATTTTATATTATGTAGTGACACATACTGAATTTGGAAACAAATAATTTTTTTAATTCATCTGTTTCCTAATAACAGAAATAGATCTTTATGCAAGTTTTTAAATGGCTACTCAAATTGTTATCAAGTCTGTCATTTTACTTTTTATGACTTTTATTCAAATATTTATAATATTAAAAGAATGAGAAATAGTTAATAATTTACAATTAATAAATTTTCTATTGATATTTATTTGATGTTACATTTTTGTTTTTATAATTATACATTATTTTATATGATATAGTTAATTTTATTAAAATAAAAACATTTTTTCCACATGTAGTATATTAAAGGTGTTTTATTTTTGAAATTATTTTAATAATAGGGAACAGATAGTGAAGGAGAAAGCGACACCAAGTCGGAACCTCATTCATTTGTAAATCATTATGCCAATGTAAATGACACTTTACGCCAATCTTGGAAGAGACAGAAACCAGTCAAACCGCCAAGTTACACAGATAGTGAACCCGAAGGGAGCATTGCTGTCAGCCTGAATGGAGGACACATAATCATGAACAACATGGCTGGTTCAAGAGCTCCTCTTCCTGGATTTTCTTCGTTTGTATGATATTGTACTGCCATTTGAGATGAAATCACAACCTGGACTTGGAAAAAGAACTTATTTTTTACATCGTCGAGTATTTAAGTTAAAATTTTTAAATGTATCTTTTGTCTAAATGTTTGTGGAAATTTTATATGTAGTAGATTAGTGATCGGTTAAGCTGAAAATTATTTGGGATTGTGGTATCAAGATCATAGATCAGAAATAAGAAGACAGTATTTAACATGCCAATGCAATTACCAAAGATATCAAAAAAAAATATATGATGCAAATTATATTTATAGAGATATACTGTTTATTATGCTAAAATATTTGAAAGCTTTTCTTACTTTCATTTACTGCTGGAAAGGTTTAGTATAACTGCTTCCGGCTGAAGTATAGCAAATTAATCTTTTTCAAAGGCTAAAATGGAATTATTCCACCATTTATTATTTATTCTTAACTGAGAGAGATTTCAAGTGACCATCTCCATTCTCTGGCAAGGTTTGATTGTTACTTAAATAGATCAGTCCATTAGAATAGAAAATATTGCCTTTTTATTAAAGTGCCTTTTTGTTAAATTTCATATTATTTAAACAAAATATTGGTATTTTGGATAACTGAAGATGATCTAAATTCATCTTTGCCTTAGAGTTGCAATGTTTTTGTTATGAATTTCACATATCTTTATATGCAATTATTAAATATTCCAATGAAATATTACTTAATACCAAAAATATTTGTTAAGGACAACTTATCTGTCAAGAATTACCAGTTTGAGTCTTGACATTCAAATTGTCATATTTTTATAAGCATTTTATCTACACACAAAAGTCATATTTTGAATTTCAAAGGGAATATTTCTGTTTCTTTTATAACAAATTTATATTTTTACAGAATGATTTAGTTACAGAAAAGAAATTTATTTTATACATAGTCTACATAATTCTATAATTCTTTTCCATCTGTCTTTAGTGTGATTTAGATTAGAAATTGATACTAGGAAGATGTATGCTAATTATATATATATATATTACATTTTGGTATCTAAAATTAAAAGTTTCTTGAATAATCTCAATTATTTTTAGATTTAGTTAATATTAGATATAATTTTTATTACAATCAAAAAATTAAATGGCCAGAATATATTTACTATATTTTTTAAACTTGGAACTTAATCAATCAAAGAAACTAAGGCCAATTATATTATTTTAAATATATTTAAAATTAATTTATTTCACATGTTCTTTGAATGGCAAAATCTATCTACTTCAAAAGACATATTATTTTTTTAATGACTAATTTTCACTATACACATTGCTATTAGATATTAGATGGTGGACTACCTCCTGCTAAATTGCTTAGTAATTATTTAGACTTACAGCCCAATAGAGAATTCAAAATTTTAATGTTCGTTTGGTGTTAACAGCATTGTTAAAAGATTTGTTTTCTTATTGCTTTATTTAATAACATTTATGAACTTTTATAAAAAGGTAAGAAGGCAAAATGTTCGTTGCAGTCCAACTAAATTTCATAATTTTTTCAAACAAGTTTTTTGCATACGTGCAAATTTTTCATCCAAGTAAAATGATTCTGTTTGAAAGTCATTTGCACAGTAGTAAATAGATTAAATTTATTGTTCACCAAAACTTCAATTTTTCATAATAGCCACGTGTTTATATCAATTATTTGAACAATGATAAATCTTATTAATGAAAACATCCAAATGCAGTATTTCATTAATAAACTGAAATATTTGCATCATACAGTGGGAAAGTTCAAATTGTCAATCTGTTTGGCATTCAAATATAAACAATGTATTTTTCTATATTTATACTTTTAACAAAAAAATATTTTAAAATTACTTAATAAAAATTCCATAAAAAGCATTTAACACAAACATTCCATGTTTTTTTTAATTTTGGCATTTTTCTTTTGTGATGTTTTTCAGTACTTAAAGAATTTTGTGATCTATTTTTAGAAATGTTCTTTACCAAACTTTTTAATATAGAGTGCGAGTATTTTGCCGTCCAGAAGTATTTCCAATAAAAGCAAATACATTTTATTGGTAAGCACTATTTTTATTTTTTCCTCTCTGTTCATTGTGGTATTGAGTAATATTTAAATATTGGATCCAAACTTAATCCTACATTAGAAGGAATTTTTCATTTAGTGCTTTCAAAATTATATATCTGATGTTGCAAGGAAATGAAAATGTTAACACACACACACTCATCTGTAAAAAATGATGTAAAAATGTTCTGTATATCTCATTAATTTGAAAACTAAAGATTTGTTGATTAACGACTCTACGCTTAATGAATCTCTGAAGTCTTCCTTTGATTTTTACGTAATTTATTTTTTTATTAAACTTTCAGAAGGAAATATTCGAATAAATTGCTCCTTTGCCTCTGCTGTTTGTTCCGAACTTTCCATTCTCGTGTAAATTATAAATATTTAATCAATCTGAACGTCTTTAATTTTCAAATTATTTTGGCAGCTACAGGAAAGTAAGATAAGCAGGACAAACGATTTAAGTTATAAAAACAGATGTGATATTCATATTATATAAAAAAAAATTGTTGCATATTGAGTAACATCCTAATGTAATATACAAATAAATACCTGTGTATATTCCGTCCATCGAGAAGCATAATTATATTTATGATATTTTTTAAATATAAAGAGTCCTTTTCGATATTGTAGTAATCACTTTTGTATTATTAGAAATACTATTGCTTTGTTTAAATAAACATTTTAAGAGAAATATCTTGTCGATTGATTTAATTATTTTTGTTTCATTACAGAACAAACTGAAATATTTTATGCTGTTTCAATTAGATAAAAAGTTGTACTGTGTCTTTCCATTCAAAATGCATGGGTAATACATCAGTAAAATTTATGGCTCTTTGGCGTTAAGAACTTGTGGACATTACCATAATTTCAAGTGACAAGTAATTTTCATAAATAATACTGGTTTTTTGGTAATTTTTAGGAAAGTAATAAAGGTAACAAATCAATGTGAAAAGCAATTAACAAATGCTACCTAGCAATATTTATTTAAAAACAAAACATTTTCTGTATATTCGTGTACAATACATACATATTCTGGCAACAAAGTCATTGTTTAATATGTGTGTATAATTGCATCTTTGTTCTCTAAACAATGAAAAGATGGCTTTGATGTCACCTGCTAACATCAGTAGCATAGAAGTGTCTTCTGCAGAAGAATCACTGCATGACAATATTACAAAATTTACACATTTGTGAAAAATCTTGATTTTGAAGGATGCTTCATTGGTTTCAGAAGTTGTGAAAATGGTAGAAAAAAAATGAAACATTAAACACATTGGAAAATATCAGTGTGTTTGAGTACAAATGATTCTCCCAAATTAGTTGAAGTGTTTTAAACATTAATCTGTTTTTAAGATGATTTACATGTCATTGGATTGTAAAAATCTTATGTGCACACTGCAGAAATGTTTTTTAACATGCTTCTATGACAAATTGTGCTACTGGAAAGCCAAACAGATTGAATGATGATAATAAAAATGTCTTTTTTATTAACTCCAAGACTTCTTCTTTCAATTGGTTCCTCTTCTGACTACTTTCCCCATTCTTCAGATTCCCCTTGTTCTATCCTTAAAACGACACTGCATATGTATGCCGTGGAATTCACATTGCAGAAAATTATATAAGATTTTCCATTTTTGCAATTTTTAGTATAAAATCTGCCAAATTCATTTATTTTAATCTTAACATAAATAACATTCCTTTTTAAAAATATAAAACATTTTTGATGTACAGAATCAAGTATATTTGATTTGGAATCAGTCCTTTAATGCCTCTGCACCACACTGCTACATAGTCTTTGTGTATACACTTGGCAAAATTGTACAGAATATCTAATCTGTTGTTAAATTATGGAAATTTGGATTCTGGATTTTGTTTGAATTAAATGACAGACACTTCATTTAAGCTTTTAACTATTCAAAAATGTTATCAAAATTTTTTTATTTACATGTACTAAATCTATATAAAAATGATGATGCTTTGTACAGGTTCATCTTTTGCTGAAAATAATCATTTACATTAACAAAAATAATTTATTAGTATACATTCAAATTACCCAATTTCTGCTGTCGTTTAATTAGTTCAAAATTTTGGCTTCAATCATCGGCTGAAGAGAGAATTTTTATTCCTGTTTTCTGGATGCCGTGAATGTGCATCTGGAAACGAACTGCCTGATGACGGGCGATCGTTCTGAGAGCAAAATAACCCACGATGACTTCTAATGCAATGAATATCAGCATGATGGCATTGACAGATTTCTCCAATGGCAGAAGCATCAGGTCATCGTGAAAGGATATAAAAGATACTAATGGAAATTGGATCAGCAATGTCAACAGCCAGAAACTAGTTAATGATGGTACCTACAAACAAAAATAAGTACATATAAATAGGTCTACATTGTTATTGTAATTACTGTATATTAAGCTTAAAGTATATATATAAAATATAACAAATGCAGACCTAATAGTTCCTATTTACTTAACATAGGTTACAATCTAAACAAAATTGCATTTATTTGTTTTTAAAGTTCTGCTAGCTTCATAAAAGCATTTACAGTAAGATTCAAGCTCTGAATGAACGGTTTTGCACCTCCAAAATTGTAGACTCCCCATACAAGCAAAAAGTCACAAGCTGCAAAAACATTTTGGCTGAGACTAACTGTAGTTAGTCCCTTTTGTAAAATCATAAAGAACCAACATCTCTTAGCTTCTTTATGAATTTTTTGTGTTATGTTTTGTTTTATTCAAATCAAAATTTAAGCTATAATAATCCATTTTGAAACTTTGATTATATACGAACGAACAATATTTTTATAACTATTTTCACACTTTTCACATGTTTCTTTCAAATTAAAATGGTTTAAGATGATAATCTACTTTCTTCCAGTATGCTTTATCGAGATGTATAAACACTAATTACAAGTTTAATTGAAGTAAAGGAAGACAAAGTAAACACATTTATGTATACAATTACTGAAATATACACTAAATATGTTTTGCTTATTTTAAAAAATTTTTATCAATATATAATTTATATTTTTATTTTGAAAGAATTTTATAGACAAGTAATACTTTTAAATTTAATATACAGTAGAGCGTCGATTATCTGAATCAATTGGGGACTGGGGTGGTTCGGAAAATTGATATTTCGGATAACCGGTTATGTACGAAAAAATATATTAACCTATCGCGTGTCACTTTGTGTTGAATTTTCGTTGATGTTAAGCCTAATGAAGACTATTGTATCGTTAAAAATTATTTTTTTATTTTGTATGAACAAAATAAATATATTGAAAAATATAAAAACAATAACTTCTATAATTTTTTTAAATTTAGTATCAAAAATGTAAAATATTTGAGTAGCCAAAGATTGCAGCGCCACAGCGCTGGTGAAAATTAAAATTTGCCGACTGGAATTCTTTCAGATAATTGACGCTCAAGTGTTAAATAAAAAAACATTTCACTTATTTTTCTTAAAAATTAATTTTTAAATTAAAATTTACTTCAATAAATGAAATTACACTCGTGCACTTAAGGATGACGTGCATTTACTTAGAAAACATGTTGGGAAACAGTGATAAGTGCATGTAGTGTTTCCTAGTTCGAGTCCTTGACTGTGTGTCACACTTGATCCACGAACCTACCGNTCATAGGACGGAGAGAAGAAAAATAATTTTTAGATTAAAATTTACTTCAATAAATGAAATTACACTCGTGCAAATCTTAAGGATGACGTGCATTTACTTAGAAAACATGTTGGGAAACAGTGGTAAGTGCATGTAGTGTTTCCTAGTTTGAGTCCTTGACTGTGTGTCACACTTGATCCACGAACCTACCGCTTGGTGGCACTTTAAACACTCGTTGTGTTTAAAGTGCAGTTTCAACACACCAATAGTGGTGTTCGTTGCATCACAGATTGAATATACACAGCTGTTACGCTATCTGGACCTCCAGTCCGATCTCCTCTTCCAGCGTATATAAGCTACACAGTGTAGGAGAATGGTGCAGAGACACCATTTGGATGATTTTATGCATGGACGAATCGTCAGACAACTAGAGAGCGGTCAGACCCAAATGGAAGTGTCGCGTGCACTGAGTGTCCCCCAAAGTATCATCTCAAGAGTCTGGCAACGATTCCAGCAGGGTGAAAATGTCACTCAGAGGTGGGGCAGAGACTGTCCAAGGTGTACCATCGGCCAAGAGGACTATCACTTATGCCTAATAGCCAAACGCAATAGTCACAGCACTGCCTCAGATCTCGCTACAGATCTTGCAGCTGCTACAGGGATCAACATTTCAAGGTTTACAGCGTACGGACGGTTAGCTGAGGAACATCTGTATGCCAGAAGACTGGCAAGATGTGTTCCATTAAACCAAGTGCAAAGAAGAGCTCGTTTAAATTGGTCCAGGGAACATCACACATGGATCCAGGAGCAATGAAGTCATGTCTTGTTTACAGATGAATCCAGGTTTAGTCTCAGCAGTGATTCACAATGTGTCTTCATCTGGAGAGAACCTGGGACACAGTTCCATCCAGAGAACATTACTGAACTGGACCAGTACAGAGGTGGAGGAGTCATGGTGTGGGGTGCATCATNGCACTTAAGGATGACGTGCATTTACTTAGAAAACATGTTGGGAAACAGTGATAAGTGCATGTAGTGTTTCCTAGTTCGAGTCCTTGACTGTGTGTCACACTTGATCCACGAACCTACCGCTTGGTGGCACTTTAAACACTCGTCGTGTTTAAAGTGCAGTTTCAACACACCAATAGTGGTGTTCGTTGCATCACAGATTGAATATACACAGCAGTGTAGGAGAATGGTGCAGAGACACCATTTGGATGATTTTATGCATGGACGAATCGTCAGACAACTAGAGAGCAATCAGACTCAAATGGAAGTGTCGCATGCATTGAGTGTCCCCCAAAGTGTCATCTCAAGAGTCTGGCAACGATTCCAGCAGGATGAAAATGTCACTCAGAGGTATGGCAGAGGCCGTCCAAGGTGTACCATTGGCCAAGAGGACTATTACTTATGCCTAATAGCCAAACGCAATAGACACAGCACTGCCTCGGATCTCGCTACAGATCTTGCAGCTACTACAGGGACCAACATTTCAAGGTTTACAGTGTATGGACAGTTAGCTGAGGAACACTTGTATGCCAGAAGACTGGAAAGATGTGTTCCATTAAACCAAGTGCAAAGAAGAGCTCGTTTAAATTGGTCCAGGGAACATCAGACATGGATCCAGGAGAAATGGAGTCATGTCTTGTTTACAGATGAATCCAGGTTTAGTCTCAGCAGTGATTCACAATGTGTCTTCATCTGGAGAGAACCTGGGACACAGTTCCGTCCAGAGAACATTACTGAACTGGACCAGTACAGAGGTGGAGGAGTCATGGTGTGGGGTGGTATCATCCTGGGCTCTTGCACTCCCCTGCATGTCTTCCCACGGGGGTTCGATCACAGGTGTGGTGTATCAGGATGATCTCGGACTAATATGTTTGAAGTCATTGCCCACTGCACCTCAAAAGAGACATTCTGATGGATGATAATGCTCATCTGCATTGGGCAGGCATAGTGGATGAGTACCTTGAAACAAAAGATATCAGTCAATTTGATTGGTCCAGTTGCTCACCGGACTTGAACCCAACAGACCATGCATGGGGCATGCTTGGCAGGCGGATTGCACATCATCAAATGGCTCCAAGGTCCATTCCCGAGCTCAGGGAAACACTGGTCCAAGAATGGGAAACCATACCCCAGCCACTTCTTGATAGCCTCATTCTCAGCATGCATTCACATTGTGGTGCATGTCTTGCAGTGCAGGGTGATCACACACACTATTAATGGCCCTGTGCAGCACCTTGTTTCCTGAACTAACACATACGGGTTGTTGTTAAATTCAGCGCCGCGAAGCAGCGCTGCAGCTTAGGCTGCAAGAGCGCTGCGATCGCTGCTGAATGTCTTTTAACAACGCACACGGGACAGCGCTGCAGTTCCAAAATGGCGGCTCTCAGTGCAATTGTTGGAATGTTTAGCGAATTATTTAATTCGAAAAATTTTAAAAAGAATTCATTTTTGCGATACAATGTCTTATTTAGGAAGCGTAAACATGACGACGAAGTAATTGCTGGAATGGCAAGTTCTGTTGTGGTGCAACCGCGGAAAAAAGCCAGGATACAAAACTATTATGAGGAAATTATTCCTCGATACAGTGATCTGGATTTTAAAGGCCACTTCAGACTTCAGCGTGAAAGCGTTGAATACCTTTGCCAGATTCTGAATTTAAAAGAAACGAAGAAAATTGGACGGTCATCCATTATAGAGGTAAAAAAAGAAAAGGTTGTCCTATTGTCCTTATGGATTTTAGGAAATCAGGAATCCTTTAGAGGCGTAGGTGACCGTTTTGGACTAGATAAAGGACATGCTCATAGGTTGTTTATAGTATTTTGTAAAGGTGTTTGTAATTTAAAAGAAATTTTCATTAAATGGCCAGTTGATAAGGATGCCCAAGAAGTGGTAAAAAACTTTTCATCATTAAGGGGCAGAAACAGCTTTCCAAATGTCTTTGGATGTGTTGATGGGACATTAATACAAGTAACAGTTTGTCATCATGAAAAGCAAGAATATTACAGCAGGAAG